GCAATGGAGCAGACAATTACAACCCTCCCAGCTGCTCGATATCACAATTAAATCCAGCTTCATTGATAAATATAGTCATATTGATTAATTCAACCAGGTCAAAATTTTTGCTCCTCCCTTCCTATTCTAGCACAATTAGCATCTACTTCTACATATATTCCCAGATTTCTGAGATTAAAAATTAGCAAAACCTTACAAGTCTTGATTTGGAAGCCTTCTCTTCCTAGGTTAGACTTTGTCATTTATCCTTTGTGTTCTGGTTAGAAGTCTGGAGACAAGGAGAGATGTTTGGGGGTGGAACATGAAGAGCAGAGGCTTTGTTTTGTAAGATAAGTGCTTTAAGTGAAGTCATTGCATGGTCATCAAGACAACTAGGATGGGGCTCATCAGAGAAGCAAGGAGACTCATTGGGATTTGGTGGATCAGGGTAACACAAACTCATCTGAATCTTTCCAAAGATCATTTTTCCCATTCTTGGGGTGCCTTTTTATCTTCATAGTGGTGTCAAGATTTCCACATGAGACACCTGGTAAAGCTATGAATTCATCATACATTGTAATTCAGTGACTTCTCCTAAATTGGGCTCTTTATCTTCTTTCTGTTCTGTCTTGGGACTTCAGTAAGAAGCTGCTTTGAGTAGCTATAGCACTGCCTGCATTCTCCGAGCCTTGATCCAAAATTTAAAACCTTAAATTTGTCATTTTCTTTCTTTAAACTCTTCAGTGCAGTTCAAAGCATCCAGCTCACCTCATTGTCTTATATTCTTCCTGCCCTTCAAAATGGTCTATGGTAGCTGTGACTCAGGCCATCAAAGCATTACTTTCAGAGGCACCCCACGCCAGGGGAACTCAGATGATCACTTAAGAAACTATCTCACCTTCATGTACCATGGAGGACAACGTTCCTTCTTTTCCTGTCAATCTAATTATTACTTTGTCAAACCTATCCAGTCAGACCCATTATTGCCATTTGTCTGAAGAGTTGTTACTTATAACTGTTACAAACTACTGTTTTAAGCAGGGTTCATTTATTCATTCAACACAAATATATGAGCATCTACTACGTGCCAAACTTCTAGGACTAAAGATACAGCAATGAACAAAATAAAAAAAAAAATTCTTTCCTCATGGACCTTACATTATTTTTTGGGACACAGAGAGAAATCATGGTAAATATATAAAATAAATAGTAAATTAGATACAGACAAATGTTAAGGAGTAGGAATAAACTGAGAAGGGGATATTTAGTGCAGGAGGTGACCAGAGAAAACCTTCTTGAAAGCTGATATTTGAGTAAAACTATGTAAGAAATGGTAGAGTGTGATGGTCATGCAGATATCTGAAACAGAATATTTTAGGCAGAGAAGACAGCAAGCAAAAAGGCCCTGATGTGTGAGCATGAATGTCTGCTAGATTGCAAAACAAAATAACAGAAAACTGTCAGGAAGCCAATGCAGCTAGACTGGAATGAGCAAGAAGAAGAAGAGGTGAGTTTGGAGAATTTAGATAGATCCCTTTGGTACTTGTAAGGTCTTTGGCTTTTACTTGAGCCAGTGGAGAAGACATTGAGGATCTGAGCAGAGATATGAATGACCAAACTTACATTTTAACGTCAATGGTGTTTTGAGGATAACCTGATGGAAGGATGAAAGCAGGTGGACCAGTTAAGAGGCTAGTATAATAATTTAGGGGGAGAGAATGGGTCCTGGACAGAGGTGGTAGCAGTAGACGTAGAGGCAAGTGGGCAGATTCTGGAAGTTGTAGAAATCTGGAAAGGAGTGATTTTAGAGGCCGAACCATAAAGTTTAAGATGGACAAGGAGAAAGTGATGGCATGAGTATGGTGAGAAGCAGTAACAAATTCCTATGACAAAGAGATTGAGGGTGCAAGTATTTTTAGAGTTTGAATATTTAAATAAGCAAACTAAAATGTAATGATGTGTGAGTTATCTGATAAAAACTGAAATTCTAGAAGAGTTGCACTTATTGATAACAGTAGAATCTATAATGAAACCGTGATTGTGAGTTACTGAAATAGGGTGGACATTGAGACCATTGGAGTAAAAAAGTCTAGAAATTTAGAGGCCAAAATGCTGGAGAAATTGTCTAGATGAGTGATAAAAATCAGAAGAATTATGACTGAGGTAATATGGGAAAAAATGACAGTGATCTAGTTTGATGACATATTTAAGAAACAATGGAGAGTGACCCACAGCATGGCAAATGACTAGTAAAAGGAAAGAGCTGCAGGTATAACCTGATGGCTAGAGTGTCACAGCATTCTTAGTTGCAGATACTAGAATTCACTCTCTAGGTAGTTTAAGCAGACAATGGTTTTAAATGGATATTAAGAAAATCCTAGCAAAACCAATCTGCAGCCTGAGCTTTCAGGACCAAATTTCAGAACCTCATTGCAAAGCTGGTAAGGGGATTGTTTCTCCTTTTCAGTATAGAATCATGATTCCTGTGCCACCTCCTTTTGAGCCAAATGGATGCCTTCCCCAATATTTATATGGCATATAACTTATTCATGTGGCTCACTTCTTGCATGAACGTATAATTAGTAGAACATGTGTAGCACCAAACACAGAATTGTAGTTTTTTGTACTCTGTTAGGAAGCTGGGATTAACAATGTGAGAAACTTCCAAATGTAAAGAGTGTGATCCAAAGATTTAGGTAGTCTCTAATAACAGATGTCCTTATAGCTTCATTATAATACTCACCTTAGGTTTCTTTCCCAGAGGATGAGAGTTATATCTTATACATTTCTGTATCCTACCTATTGCCATGCAATAGTAGATGTTCAAATAGTTATAAAATTACTGTATAAATCAAGACATTTCTAATTTACAGTGAAAGAAATCAGTTTTCATTGTATTATAATGCTTGTTTCTTTATAAGTATATCATCTACCTAAAACATTCATGTATATAATAATGTTGATTAGCTTAAGATTTTAGGAAATAATGCAAATCAACCAGGATGCAGGGTTAGCTTTGATATAGGCCAGAATGCACACTGGAAAATTTATTTCATTTATCATTTTTTCTATTCATTCAACAAATATTTATTGCATACCTACGGATGTCATGAACTAAGCCAACACTCAAATAAGAGAAGATCAAGAAGATCAGGATAGACGTGGTGCCTCATGGAGCTTATATTCCAATGAGGAAATAGAATGGAATTTAGTAAAACTATTTTTTAAGAAATTACACTTCATGATATGATACGAAGAAACAAAGCAAGAGGCTGAAACAGAATTATGGAGGCTAGGAAGACGAGAGACCTACTTTACATAGAGTAGTGAGCAAATGCTTCATTGAGAGGCTGATATTTAAACTGAGTCTAAAAGGATGAGACAGGGCTTGCCAAGTGAATAGTTACAGGAAGTGAACTGCAGGCATATGCAAAGGCTTGGCCTGTTGAGGAGCAAAAAGTATGCTGGGGTGGTTAGAGCATAGTTTGCCAGAGAAAGACTGACGTGAGATAACGTTGGAGAAATAGGCAGATTAAGTTCACGCAGAGCCCTGTAAGCTGTAACAAACAGCTCGGCTTTAACCGATGCCTGCATGTATCTGTAGAATTCAAGACAGTAGAATACCATGAACAGAATCAGAGACTGAGAAATAAAAGGGAAGCTCTTTGAAAATGTTGTGTCATTTTCATACTGACCTGTATTAATATTATTTTAACCCTTAAATGTGACTCCTGCCTACTGATCTATACACATTTAGGATCTCAGATGTTTGCGTTCTTTTGTGCCATTAGAATGACAGAGTTTTCTGACACTTAGAAGTATAACTAGGGAAAATGAATGTAGAGAAATTAACATTAAGTACTAAGAAATGTGATACAAGTATGTGAGACTGAATCTAACAGTGACATTGTGAAAAAAAAATTTTTAATTACAGTGTGAGCTTTAGAAAAAATCTTGAAAAATAATTGTTTTCTTTTTTCTTTTCACCCCAGTATCTTATGTCTGCTTTTTCCTCTTTTGTTTGAGTGACGTCTGCTTAATTTTGCATGGACACCATTTGTTAGCCTACGTTTTTCACTATCCTTTAGAAAATCTCGCCTGTGAAACTTACTGGTCACGTGTTGTTCTTCACTAGCAAAATTTTAATCACTGATAACTCAGCAGTTTTTGATTTTCTTTTCATGTATCTTTGCTTTAGCAGCAAAACTCCCTTTTAAAATGAAAATGAAGGTGAAACCTCAATTCATGAAACATTTAAAAGCAAAATTTCTCTGGGAAGTCAGAGCGTAGAGTCTAGAACAGACTGGAACACTGTTCACTGGCCTTTCTGCTGTCCCCTCAGATGGCCCCAGAGGCTAACTCTGGGAAATGTAGGTTTCAGAGTAGACAGCTTTAAAATTATGTCCTTTAGCCTCTTTTCCCAAGATGATTATTATGAATCTCAGTCACTATATTCTGCGTTGTTGCATATGTTTTCTATTATGTAATCTAAGAATTAACCGTGAATAAAATCATTAGTGATTACCTCTATAATCACTATAGCAACATGTGATTATCACTATAATCATGTTTAAAGCAACATGATTATGCTTATTTCCTTCAATTCAAAATTTTTAAATGACCAAGTGTAAGTGAAATTAATTTTGACTTTTAATACTATTCTCTTAACAAAATCATCATGCATTGTGCAACGTTCATTAATAATTATCCTATTAGATCATACATTTTATGTTGTGTTCTATTTCTACTGAAATTATTAAATTTTCTAAGAGAACGCATAAAATTTGCATTATATTTTTAATTCAGTAACTTGTTATATGATAGAAATGAAATTTACTTTTAAAGTGTTTTATGAACCTTGTGTTAGACTCAGGTTTATGCTTCTTTGATGCTACCTGTGGAATAACCTGAGGTTATCATTAGATACTATGTAAATCTGCAATGTTTTGAGGTAGAAGTCATTAATAAGTATTAGTGACTTTTATCTGTAAGGTAATTACATTTTCTGTTAAATCCAATAGCTGCTACTGGAGCATTTGGAGTGCCTTGTGTCACGACATGAAAGGTCACTAAGAATGACGGTGGTAAAACGACAAGCCCAGTCCCCCTCGGGAGTTTCCAGCGAAGTCGAGGTTCTCAAGGCGCTGAAATCTTTGTTTGAGCACCACAAGGCCTTGGATGAAAAGGTATAGTATTGTGAAAGGATCCCTACAATTTTACGTGTCAATTACACCTCAATAAAGGCGAAGTTAAAAAAATAACAAATTTTATCTACTGTTTTTAAAAAGTATAGTTTTGGCAAAAGATTTCAAGCTTGATGGTGCTTTTGTCATCAGCATCAAGCTCCTTGTCTTCATCCATGGTTTACCTGACTCCTGAAGTAAATCAGTTCAGAGGTTCATGTTTGAATTATATGAAAACCGTTCTTTAAAAATGTAACTGGATTATTGTGTGTATATTGGTAATATTCATAACCATGTTTGGTTTTTTTTTTAATACCACTGAATCTATGGCTTGTCAACTATTATGGCTCATTATGGTCCTAGTCCGGGTGGCCGTTTGAAGTTTAATATCGTCGTTCCGCCTCCCTCTCGCTCGCTCTCTGTCTCTCACTCTTGCCGCCCCACTCCTCTCTGAAATGCATGTCTATAGATGCCAACATAGGAGACCACTAACTGACAGTTAAACATATCTTGAACTGTAATTTGGATGCACTTTAACCTTTAGAGATTTATATTAGAAGCATAAGATATTTTTTTAGGTCTCTAATACCTTAGTTCTGAATATACATTTTTAACAGTCTCTGCATATAACAGCATGAAGTATTAGCAGAAAAACTGGCTTAAGGTCTTTTTTAAAGTAGCTGTAAGCTTCTCTTAGCTGTTACTCAAATAAGTTCTACTGACATAAAGAAGCCAATATGATGATAATATCCTTTGAAGATTAGTAAGGCTTATGACATGATTTCAATTTTGTGAAATTTCAAAGAACAAACTTTTTAAAATTAATAAAGCTTTAGGATTTTGTAGAGTGGGAATTGGGGCGCTTCACTGTAAAGTATCTGACGAGTTCTGAGCGTTAAAATTCAAACCAGGGATTATTACCCAGTTACATCTAGGCTTTGAGCGTGCAGACGCTTCTGCTCTGCTTCATATTTATGTACATAGATATTTTTATCATTGGTCTTTCAGATGTTCTTAAAGCAAGGGATTATATGGCGTGTGCGCATAAAAATAACTATAATTCTGTCTTCTAGATTATTAAGAAGAAATTGTGTCTTATTTTTTATTTTAGCCATGAGAGGCAACTAGTTTATGAATAATTTTGAATAAAACAGAAATCGACATTATGTAGAGATCTCTGATAAAAATAATATCAAATAATATCAAATAATCATTTAATATATTTAATGTTTAGTTTCCTATTACATTCCCTTTCTTACTACAAAAGTGCATTGTCAAGAGTTTGCAATACTTTATATTTGTGAAATATCTATTATGTGTCAGACTCCTTGACAGACATTTGGCACACAGTGATAGATAAGACATTGCCCCCACAACTGAAGAGTTCATAGTTAGTGCTGGAGATTCACATGTCAATAAGGAGTCACGATAAGAAAAGATATGTACAATGAAATACTACCAACTTTACAGTAGAGGGTAAAGAGAAAGTTGTGACTAACCCTGCTTGAGAAAGTGATGAGAAATTCAAGGACATCTTCACACAGGGGGAGACATTTGATCTGGGTATTAAAGAATGTGTAAGAGTTTTTCAAGCAGAGAAATAAAGATACTCTAAGCAGCAGGACCAATATGGACCAATAAAATAACCCAAAGCAATAAGAAGAGCATGGCCTGTTCAGAGAAATTTAACAGTTTTGAATGACTTGAGTGAAGGTACTTGAGAATGTGTGATTTTAAATGTTCTCTCTAAGCACTCCGACATCACTTAGTGAGAGATGCTTTTCAGGAAGAATGAACAGTATTTAAGACAACCTGATAGCTGTGAGTACATTTAAGAAGAAAATAGTTGTTGCAGAACTTAGAGTCTGGAAATAATTTACTATATCGAAGTTCAGTGAGCTTAGCAGAACTAAATGAAGCATTTTAAACTGTGGCCCTAGGAGCTACAATAGTATTTATTAACTCACCAGAAGTGCCTGGACATTGGTGAGTTCAGGGGCAAATGAACTGATTGTCAACTAAGTAATGCTGAACAGCCTAAAGGAAAAGCATGTGAGCTTGGGCTCTGGAGTTGGACAGATCTGGACAAGTGGCTTAACTTCTCTAAGCATCTGTTTCCTTTTCTTTTCAGTGAGGAGAATAATGGTACCTACCTCACAGAGTTGTCATGAGGGTTAAATTGTGATCTGACATGTAAAGCTCTTAGCCAGTGCTTAGCATATCGCAAATGCTCAGTGAATGTTAATGAATACTATTATTAACATGCATAAATTTCAGCATTTAACAAAACTTTCAAACTAAGCAAAGAAGTTGGTATCCTTGTTGATCCATATGCTTGTTTTAAATAGTATTTCATTTAGTTGTTGAGAGATTATCATGTACCCAAGCACCTTCAAAGACAATTTCCTTAACTGAGAATAGCTCTCAGCTTCTCATAGGGATAGAAAGGGGTGGGGAGACAGACCTATAAACAAGCAATTATAATATTCTAATTTAAGTGCTATAGGTATTATGTTATAATATATAGAAGATCAGAAGAAGATGCAATTACTAGTCTTGAGGACAGGAAAATACCAACTTTACAGTAGAGGGTAAAGTTACACATGAAGAGCTAAATATAGCATAAAAGACTGAGCATTGCTGTGGACAATTACAGTGACTGGCAGTCTTCATTATTGATGCCCTTTTTTATACATCCACAGAGTTTATAGAGTAGAATTGTTACAATTAGCAAAGACCAACAGTAAACTGAGTTTATAGGGTAGAATTGTTACAATTACCAAAGACCAGCAGTAATTTTAACATCATTCTCCAATATGTTTACCAATTCTGTGGCTGGACGAAATGAGAAATATACATGGGTTTTGCAACACAGATATAATTTACTATTTTTTTAAAAAGGTACATTGGAAATGCATGGGAAATAGAACCAAAAAACAGAGTATATACACACTCCACATATATTTTCACGATCCAATATCACAGTGCCAAAACAAGATTTGAACTTCTGGGCTAAGGAGATTTCCACACAGTGTTTTCTGTTACAGGATTGGTCATTCCAAAATGAAACCCTGTTATATCTTATTTTCAGTTTGGAATGTCTACTTCTTCCACCAAAGTCCCTCTTCATCCTGAAACACATTTGTCATTTTTAGGTACTTATTTTATTTTAAATCCTCAGGTATAAAATTTCTGTTGCCTTGAAACATCTTTTGGGGAAAAAACTTATCTTTAATTATTTTTCATACCATTATGAAGAAAATAGGTATAACAGATGAAATTAGAAATAAAAAATTCTAGATGTATATAAATAATATATTTTGAGAGTTACACTGTAGCTCTACAAATAAGCAGTCAATACATTATAAAGCCTATGCAGACCAAAGATTAATTGATCATGATTAAATAGTAAAAGATCAGAAAAAGTTAAGTGTAGAGCCAAGGCTACCAATTGCATACTTACATTTAGGGAAAAAAATTACAATTTTTTCATGGTATATAAATCATGTCTAGATAACTTCACAAGAACAGCAGATCCAACATGAAAAATAAAAGTAATTATGGCATTCTGCTGGTGCTATGCACAGAGCAGAGCAAAAAGCTAAAATGCTGTCAGAGATCCTATTTTTCCCTACCAGTGGAGTTCCAACTGCAGACAAGGTAAAATGTTAGGATTCTTTATAACCTGGAAAGCTTACACCTTTGGAACCTAGCCTTTTTCTTTTTACTAAATTGAACAGAGATTAGTGTGAAATTAATTGCATATGAAGAGAATAATTCATTCTCATATAAACTTGAATAAAGCATTCATATCATGCTAGCATCAATTTTTACATTTATAACATTAATTAAAAATATATTCAGAAAATTGGTTCTTTTTCTTATAATGACAGCTTTAGATTCATTACTTTGTGGGTAATCTCAAATTGTAAATGCTATTCTAAATTTATTGAGGGGTGATTCTATTTTCATATTGTTTCATAAGCTTGATGACTTTTACTCCTTGAAGTCTCAATGTAATGAGAATACAATTGCTTGACTTATGGAAGATAGAGAACAGTTTGGAACAATTTCTATGATTTTCAGTTTAGCAAAGAAAGTTAGGAAGATATTTTAACATACAAGATAGCCTGGTTTCAGCCATTCCTTATTTGACTTGAGTGACACTTTTAGAAACGTTCTAGTGTATCAGTATGTTTTTTACAATATGGTACCTTAGCCTCTTCACAGAGCTCTAGATGTGATCTGATCAGTGTTTGGACAGTGAAGTCATTGACTTATATTTGGACCATTTCATAATGCTGTTCTCATCAACCAGGATTCCTGGACGTTTTTCAGAACAGCTGTATTTTATGGTTGGTATTTTAGGAAGCAGGCATAAAACCTTTCAATCATCCCTGTTAAATGTTGAGCACGCTTTCGGAGATCTTTGTTGGTACCTGCACTCCTCATGTGAGCAGTCCTCATTGCCATGCTTTCCGGATGTTTGCCTCTTTTGCATCTATCCAAGCCGTTCATAAAAACGTCTTCCCCAAGTCAAATCATCAAAGATTTCCTTCTGAGTAACTCTGGCTCAGTTATTAATCAGCATTAGCTTTATGCGCTTTTTATGAACAACTGGATATTTGTCTAACAGTACTGGTACCTGGCGGTTCAGCTGGCATACCTAAATATCACGAAAGATCCTGTGTAATTGTCTTTAATATCAAATGTCCACTTAGGTATGTATTACTAATTTTCAGAGAATTTCAGCATAACTAAATATGATTGATACGAAGCTCCACTTTGTACTTATTCTTTCTCGTTCAACATATTTCAGGAGTTAGGTGTACCCAGTCGCTCCAACATATATCAATTATCATTATATAACATGAAAATATGATTGAGATTTTTAAAAATTCCTAATTAGATTCTACTCTAATAGGACATTAGTGTGATTTTTTTGTTTGTTTGCTAGTTGGAAAACAATGTCATAACTCTAACTTTAAAATTATGTATGTTTTCATGGGCCGGCCTGGTGGCGCAGTGGTCAAGTTGCACACCTTACGCTTCCGTGGCCGGGGATTCGCCAGTTCGGATCCTGGGTGCGGACATGGCACCGCTTAGCAAGCCATGTTGTGGTAGGCATCCTACATATAAAGTGGAGGAAGATGGGCACGGATGTTAGCTCAGGGCCAGTCTTCCTCAGCAAAAAGAGGAGGATTGGCAGCAGATATTAGCTCAGGGCTAATCTTCCTCAAAAAAATTTAAAAAATAAAATAAAATTATGTATGTTTTCATATATTTAACCTATATTCCAACATAAAATCTTACTAAAGAAAAGAAAAATAACGTTCTTTAAAACATATCAATAAATTAATAGAATTAAAGTTTATAAAAATGTAATGGTATATTAAAATGCATATACACATAACAAATACTGTGACATTTCCATGGAAAATATCTATGTTAATTCATAAATAATCAAAAACTCACCATGAATTGCATCTTAACTTGAAGTTGTAAAGTTTGTTGATTTTTTTCTTATGAAAAATTAAGGCTTTGGAGTCATTCATGTTAATTCAGTCAAATTTCTTTCTCTGAATTTTTTTGTAGATGTAATATTTTTTACATGATAAACATATTTATCTCTTTTGCTAAACGTAATACAGGGCATACCTAGAGATCTGAACATATAATAACCAAAACAATTTTACAAGTTTTAAGAAAGCAAAAATTAAAGAAATACTTCTTTGAGTTTCATTTATGTCTGAAACATTTGTAAATCATAATTATTTTCAAACTAAATATGCAGAGTCTTTGGCTCTACAATATAGGCTGGCTTAACCTTCCGTATCTGGAAGCTAGTTAGGAATTCCCAGAGTAATTAAGTACTTTCCAATTCCTCAATAACAATGTGGACCTCTAATTAATACAAAACATATGAGCAATGGACAACATTTTTCAGATTCTAGGAATCCTTTGCTTTTAGACAAATCATTTTTGAAGTTAGGTAGTAAATGCCACATGAAGACTCAGTTGTTGTTTTAAAGAAGTAGAGAGAAAGTTTCTTGCCTACATCAACGGCTAATTAGTGACTGTTTTTCAGATGAATTCATAATATACTTTTGAACTTTGCCTCCACTTACTGTGACGCATAATTCACAATGAGATGGGTCAATCTCCAACCCCGTTGGAAATTCTATCGTTGAAACACTAGAAGGATTTGCTTACAAGGAAGTGCCTTGATCCAGTGGTACTATGAGGTGACAACGTATTCATAGTATTCATGAGCATTTAGGGCTATAAATACTTTAATAATTTGCCAAATGTGACTGTTTCTGATAATGCTAATGGATTCAGCACAGTTTAATATGTATGGGATGTACATTACTGCACATATTTTGGTTTTTCTTCTAGGTAAGGGAGCGACTGAGGGTTTCTTTAGAAAGAGTCTCTGCACTGGAAGAAGAACTAGCTGCTGCTAATCAGGAGGTAACACACCAACTTTCTCCTCTTTTGAGGTGCAATATTGCTAACATTACAGCCCTTGTGTTTCACAGCACTTTTATTAAAACTGTCACAAAAAATAAATTACATTCTGTATATGCCACTGAACAAGGCCTATTGAAACGAGTTACCAGAGTGGTATTTTCTGATTCCTAGTGCTGCAGATCTGTCACTAGGAGACTAAAGGAAAATTATCAAGAGCTAGTGGCATATGAGCTAGTGAGATGGGATTTAGAGAGACTGCAATCAGAATGCCAGTCTTCCCAGGAAGTAAAACACAGCTCCAAAATTGGAAAACATGGCAAATATCTGTTCAACTTAGAAAATGTTGCAAATGAAGTTAACTCCTTGGAGGGATAAATATATTTCCCCTCAGGTCTTTATTATTCTTGTCTTCTAAAAGCATTGTGCTCATGTTTAGTGGCATTGTTGAATCCACTTCTTTTGTTCTCTTTCGTGACTCTAAGAAAGTATTCTATAATTATGTCTGAGATTTAAAGAGTTGAAGATTTTACTTCTTTTGGTTATTGCTGCACAAATGAGCTTGGGTCATTAGACAAGATATATACATATATATAGTTATATATATATAAAACAAAATCTGCATAGCCCACTAAAATAGCCCCATCTCTCTCTGACGTTTATTTACATCATTACCTTTTTTTCCAGATATTTACTCCCATAATGTAAATATTGGTATGACTAGTAGTGGACATACTAAAACAATTCAGCAAAATCTACTTTTAAATAATTAAAGAAGTGGGAAGCTAATGTCATTAATTTTAAATTTTATTAGGGATTCTTAACAAAATAATATTTACACACATTATACACACAAACCAATACACATTTTCAAACGATGCTAAAAACCTTGTCCTGTACAATCTCCCTTGTTCTTTCAAATAAACTAGGCCAATTTAATGAGCTTATACGTGCTTTTGTTTGTTCTAGGTTTAACAATTTAAACTTGTGACACAATGGCCTTTTAATTATTGGAAGAATGAGTTCCATGTGAATTAAAGGCTAGCGATGCTAAAAGCATAAATGGTGGCATCACAGTTTACAAAAACAGAGAGAGCTTTTTGGTGACCAGATCAGCTTAGTAAACTGGATGGTTTAAAAAAAAAAAGGAAATAAGAAATTGGCATATCTCAGTCATCATAAAAGAAAAGAATCCCTGAGGTAATGGGTAATGACAAGAAGAACTTAGTCCATTTATGAGAGAGAATAGATAAAGTATCTATAAAGTGAGTGTAATTATTCCTAGAAGGTTCAGGAAGAAAATATTAAGTGTTTATTCATTTTGTATTTTAGCGTTATTAATTTTAATTTTTATATATGTTTAATTATATGTTTATTTTGGGTGCGTCCCTCAAAATATTTTATTGATAACGGTAAACAAAGAGAAGGTTTGGTCACTACTAATATAAAAGGCTTGCTTAATATGTCAGTTTCCACTTCTCTTAAATGAAAGAGTGGTGAGACCACTTGGCCAAAGTACTTACACTAAAATAAAAATGTTCCATAAGTTCAAGTGAGGCTGTGAAAATTTGCCCCAGAAATGATAACTGAATGGTTCAATTATATATAAAATAGGAGAACAATACTTGAGAGAATAAAATTGGAGGAAAGATTTTTGACTGTTGTCTTTAATATGATTTTAGCCCTCAAATATTATTGTAGTCTCTGGTAGGTAGTGTAGTACATTTGATTGCTTGTACATAGATTAAAGAAGTTTTAAATCATTAACACTACTTTCCAGCTACTGCAGCCTGTCTCAATGTTTTTGTTTTGTTTTAAGTCATTTGTATAAGTACAAAGAAAATAATTGTGTGCTCATTATTAACTTCAATAGATTTTGTTTTCGATTGTAATTAATTTCCATGTGGCTTAACCTGAATCCTATTCAGAAAGTCACAGATCCAGCAAAAATATAAAAAATAAAAGTTACTTTAGTTTTCTAGTAATAAGTTGTTTATAAATGATAAGTGAGTTTTTATAGAATACATAGGAAAAGTCAACTTTTACTTCATTGAAATTTCATAATGAATAGTAAAAAAAAAAATCAGAACACACCTACACTGTGAGTTCTCAATTCTTTGTAGTAACAACAATTATTAAAAGAAATCTCTTTAAGTCAGTCATCATGTATTGATGATATCAAGATGCATTTAGAAAGCTGATAAAATAAGTTTAGAAAAATTTATACTATTGGCAGCTTTAGAAAGGGGAACTAGATCAAGTGTGGATCTTAGAGGACATAATTCAAGAAAATATTTCAGAAAATAACAGCAAATATTTAGAGAAGAAACAAAACAAAACAATTTAAGAGCACATTCTTAAGAGCTAAACAAAAATTTGTAAGATAGACAAAAACAATGAAGCATTAGAACAAAAGTCTTACATATGACTAAATGAGGAAGGGGTTGGGGAAAATTTCGCTTGATGCTTCAGATTTTGACTTAAAATTAAAATGTATTTACAATTGTTTCTTATAGTTCAAATCCATTTGGTTCCTGAGTTCGTATAGTAAGCTTGTTTGATTCCAGAGTTTCTGCTTGTGAGAATGACAGTTCAGATAGCAAGGATTTTATCCAATATTTTTTTGAATTATTTTAGTTCCTAAATTCAGAAAGGCATAATCAGACAGCAGGGGTTCAAACTGCCAGTAATAATACCTTGAGATATTTATGCATATATACACATGAGGAGTCTGAAAAGATGATACAGTAGAGTTTATTCTATCATCATTGTATTATTTTAATAGAATTTATTCTATCATCTATACATCATTATTTTCTTTCTGTCTCTCTGTTTCTGTCTCTTTCTCTCTCTCTTTGTCCCATTCTCACTGATGATTTTGGAGTTATCATCCTTTGACATCTTTTCTTTACATAATCTCTCCCATGGAGGCCTCATTAATTTCTTATCCATCCAAGGCTTCGACCATTCCTTCTGTGGAAAAGAAACCAAAATCCATAGCTCAAAGTTCATGCTCTTTTCTGAGCTCCACAAAAAAGTTTTAAAGTTGGTTTGGCATCTCCACAGGGCTTTGCTAATGGTTGTATAGATTGTTCTCTGCCACAGGTGTCCAGTGGCAGGTGGGTGGGCAAAGAGGGGTAAAATCCAGCTCAGAGTCTGCTAATCAAAATATGCACGAGAGGAACTGTAACCACCTATAGTGGGCAATTTTTCTAATTTACACGAAGGCACCATCTGTGCTGGTGGGCCTGGATATCCACCGGGTTTTTCCGAGTGTCTCCCTAGATTCTCTATGGCAGTTTAATGCGATGAAATAAGTAGTCTATTAAAAAGAAGATGAGATAACTATATATGCTGTTCCGGAAAAAGCTGCAAAACATTCTACTATATGAAAAGGAAGAAGTTGCATAGAATGACCCCAATTTTGTACAAATACAGGTAATAGTAATATATGATTATGGGACTAGAAAAAAAGTTTTAGATATAAATACCAGGCTGTTATTATTAGTTGTCTCTGGTGTTTGCAAGTATATGTACTATATATTTCTTTAGTGTTTGAATTTTTAGTAAATTTTCATGATAAACAAATAAAATAATAAAGATATTTCAGTCAGATAACTATCCATTATAGATAATTCTATTGAACTCTTAATAACAATAACTAATATTTACTGAGTGCTTTAGATCTGTAGGCACTATGCTAAATACATATGTATCAACAGAATACTGGAAGTCAAGTACTACTGTTATTTTACAGATGAGCCCAGACAGGTTGTTTCTCCTAATGTATCACTATTCTCTGCTACTTGAAAATATGGTTATCTTTGAATTTGTCTTAACTCTCTGCATTCAGGTTGTTCTAATCCATATATTTAACTGTGTCCACAATCTACCCCACATCCATTTACCCTCATCTTTTTCCGGATATGTTAAAACCACCATAGTTCAGATCTTCATTAATTCTCACCTAGAATATTATAATAGGTTTTTATCTATTCTTGTCTCCTATCTCTTTCTGCTATATAATTCTTCAAGGATAAACAGGCTAAGCAGAGTTCCAACATATTGATTATTTTTCCTAATATTTTCTCATATGTAATATGTATTTCAATGTAATATATACCATATTAATATATTAATCACATAATACAATATGTATTTCTATATGTTAATAACATAATGATGTATATTACTAGACCTGTAATATACCATCAAGAATTTCTTTAATGGCCCTAACCTAAAAATCCACCTTTAGCTCCCGCTACCCCTACTGCCCTGAATCGTTGTAATGTCTTGTTAAATTAGATTACTCATTGTTTTGAAAGCAGCCAACATTTTGCCTGACTCTAAATCTTACTTATGCTAATGTCTCTCTTGGAATGCCTCCACAACCCCAATTCACCCATTGAAATCATACTTCCTCATTTAAATTCAAGTTCAGACATTACCTTTTTAATGAAATCTTTTATGATTTCTTGCCTACAGTCATTGCTCCTTAGTTTACGTTGCTAGAGCTCATTGCTTCAGCATTTATTATGACTGTTCAACAAGTACGAGAGTTAGTTCTATACCTGTCTAAATCTAAGCTGTTAGCTCCCTGAAAAAGTGGACTGTGTCTTGCTTACTTGTGTTTATTTCACTCAGTACAGTGACATGAGCCTTGCAATCAATATGTATTTGTCAAATTGCATTGTATAGAGTTTGTTCTCACCAGTATGTTCACATTGTTCCTTGATTAGTCCCTTAATAGATAGTTTGAACAGTCTTAGGCATGTTCAAGAAGAGCAATACATTGATCTCAGGCATTAAATGATCAAGATGTTTGTTCTTTCAGAATATGACTATTGAGCAACTGCCATGTGCAGAAAGTTCTATGAGTCTCTGACAGGGAGGAATAGGAAAAATAAAATGATAAAAGAAACATTACTCAAATTTTCATGTAATTTTCCCCTCTAGTAACGGAGACATATATAAACTATAAGTAAGATGTAATTTAGTGCAAA